ATATTTTTGTCAGTCATCCACACACTCTAATAACTTGTGAGTACCCTGGCCAATTCCAGGCACATGTGCTCGCAGCAGACATCTAAAAGGCACATCAGAAAATTCTTGCTAGTTATGCAAACATCCGTGCCTGTTTAAAAGGGAGAGACCCAAACTGTTGCCCAGTTAAGGAAAAGGCCACAGCACAAATTGAGCTCTTTGCTAATCTGGTCTGCCAGCCACATGCACATTCTGGCTGGCCGTTCAGGACATGCACAGCGTGAGCAAGTTATATTTACTGCCTGCCTGTTTCCCAGTCTATAGTTAGGAGTCGTGGGAGGAGAAGGGTAGCTGGGGAAGGAGGAAATGGGGAAGGAGGGAAATGGGGCACAGAAGGAATTTGGGAGTTTATGGAGATTTGGCAAATTAACTGGAAGTACCGAGGCTGCTGCCTTCCCCAAGTGCCGTGTGGTGCATGATGAGGTCTTGGTGTATATCTGGTGTGGTTTAAAAAGCTTCATGTGAACGTGGGAGGACGTGAGACAACTGCCACAAGCTGAAACAAGGGATGTTCATCCTGGACAGGAGGAAAAGCTTTTCACAATGAAGGCTGGCAGCAGAGCCAGCTACCTGAGAGGTTAGGAGGCCTTTCTAGACCCAGCTGGATGAAGCCCCGAGCTTCACCCTGGTCTGCGCAAGTTGGACTGGAGACCTCCTGAGGTCCCTTCCAGTCTGAATTAGACTCCACTTTTGCAAAATAATTTCCATGCAGAGAAGGATGCCACGAGCTTTTTGGATTCACTCTGTGAACCAGGGCTGTTTCGTTTACTTCCAGGCTTCTATGCTAAGCGTTTTGACAATCTGTATCGACTCCTGCCTTTAAAAGCTATCATCTTCAGTGCCTGGACTAAATGAATGTGGATGTGTTAGTTGATTGTCAGCTTCAAATATAAAAGAAACCTTATAATTTTGCTTTTGTTTATAATAAAATTCAAACCTCTGTATTTTATGAAAGATAAAGGTAATTTTAGTAAGTAAAACCTAAGGGCAATATTGTGAATCATTATGCATAGGCAATCCACAGCCTTGACCTGGATGAATTATTATTATTGCTACTATTAAAGCCATAGTAAAATACTGAAGAACATTGTGGATTAATAAAAGATTCAAGAGAGAGCTGTAGCCATACAACTTGTAGACAGGAAATGCTTTCTTAGTATTTTAATATGCACAGTCACGGGATGTTATTTTTGCATGAGCTTTATTTTTCTTCTTTTAAAATTACAGTTCTTAGCCCATACATAGATTTTTAATATACTCCAGGCTTTAGCCTTGTTTTGTGCTATTGATTTTAGACAAAACCTTCCATTGTTCTTCATGGGAAATCGGTTGATTAAAAAAAAAAAGAAAAAGAAGGAGTGGTGTGGACATGGCTCATCATTAAGAGATATTTTTCTAATACTAAGCCACTCTGGAGACCATTGCCCCCCTGGAAGCAGAGCTTCCTGTTGCTGCACTTGGGTTGGGAGACCTTGGAGGTCCAGCTCCATGTGCGCTTCCTTTCCGTGTCCCGCTCCCTCGCTGCAGTGGGACCTGTGGCACATCCCCAGCATGTTCCCGGGTGTATTAGCAGCAGAAAAACTCTGTTCATGCCAAAACATTCCCATACCTGCTTGACACACAGCCTGTGCATTGGGCTGGTTCCTATAGTGAGCTATAGGAGGCAGAGCTGGAGAAATGAGAAGTCAGAAGTAGGCACAGCCCTTCCAGGATGAGAGGAGTGCGGGTGTACTGGGAGTTTAATCCAGTGTCCATCCATCAGCTGCCGTATGGAGACAGCTCGTGGGAAGTGAACGATTTTAGTGAATGTGCACAACAAGTGAAGAGCAGTTAACAACGTGTTTGCTGATAACCTCCTCTTCGTGGCTGAGAGAAGGTTCTGGGGACAAAGTTTTCAAGCCAATCTGTCAGCGTGCACACTCGGTTTCAGGACATGTATGTGGGAGTAGATTTTGGAAGTAGTTACTTTCCCCACTGCCTGACCCATCCATCTAACAGAATCTGTGTTGCTTCCACCAGGAGGAGTGAATGTCTATGGAGCAGCTCCCAAAACTCCTAAAATTTGGTGTGGAATGATGAGCCAAATCTTGTTTCAGGGGCTTGGGAGATCAATGCATCCTAAAACCAAAGCACAGTGTTTGCTCTGAGATGGCCTACTAGCGCAGCAGTTCTTGGCAAGACTCCTAAACGGGCCAGTTGATGCCTAGGTGCTTGTGCTTGTGGACATTGACCTGCCATGTTGATATTTCATTTTGTGTATGGTTCGTTGGTCTGCTGTATGGTCATGGTGCGTTATCATTTCAGTTGGACTTCATGTTTGATTTCTTAGTAAACAAGAAATCCAGAGTCACATTTAGCTGAGATGATAGAACAAATTTGACTTTCTTCTTTTGCTTTTGGGCTGATCAGTAGTTGGACATCAGCCCGGTTGCACTCTGAAATGATTCTCATCAGGAATTCATGGGAATGAAGAACATTTATTAACAATTGCTGATGAAAAGTTACTTTCAGGGATTTTCCTCCAACCATTGCAGGTCCAAAAAGTGAAGTCTGGTCTCACATTTTATTTCGTTTTGGTAGACGGGACTGAATTAATCTGCTGACTGTTTTCAGTGGTCATTCCACTGCAGTTTCTTTTGGGTCATTTCATTTCAACAAGGCTTGGTCTGTTTACAGTGCTTTCTATAGAAGCGTGAAGGGGCCACAGAAGTCTTTCATGGTGAGTTCATTACTAACCAACAGCTCAGAAAACTAATAAATGAGGCACAAATATGAGCAAGTTTAGAGATGCATGGAGAGAGAAGGCAAGTTTTCTATATGGTTGGATTATTTTGGAATGTTTTTGGAATAGCGATCTTTTGTGCATTGAGGGTTGCTTTGCAGAACCTACCGTGTTGGTACATACTAGCTGTGTGTTTTCTGAAATAGTATTAGAGTTCTGCCTGCTGCCTCTCTTCAGGCATAAGACACTTCAAAAAGCCACGACAGTAAGTAGAGAGCTACTCGGAGTCCGTATTTCAGGATCACTTTCGTTTTCATAGATAGATATGAGTGGTGCTTGATTTTATATTGCTCTTTTTGTTTCCATATTTGCTGTACAAACTATTTACATATAAAATAGATTAAGGTTAAATAGGGCTCAGTTAAAAATGTCTTAATCAGGAAATGCTTATCCACCAACGTAATAGCATGCTTGTTGCCTGCACTAAACATGTTGTGATTTAACCTCATAAGGCAATGGCCTTATTACCCAGTGAATGGAAGAGCCAAACTACCTTCTGTGTCTGAGGCAAATTGGGACTATTCCTGTTCTTGTTCATGCCAGCTCACAAAGTTACTTTTATTTTGTGTACTTAATTAAAGCAGACAGAATTAGCGATGCACGGACATCAGAAAGAAGGCACGATACAGTGAGAATGACTGCTTCTCTACTAGCAAGTTAAATAGCAACAAAAAGTGTCCCTGAGCACCGAGACCTGTTTATCTATATTGGTTTCTTGAACTCTTTCAGCTTCTGCCACCTAACCTACTCCCAGGCACCAGGAACAGTTCTGGAGTTAGCAGGGAATAGGAGCTGTTCCCAGTAGTTCAAAAGTCTGCTTATGTACATTCCCGTTGGCCTCAGTACAGGAGGACATGGACATGTTGAATTTACCCCTTATCGCTAGCTATTAAATCCTCAAGAATCAGCAGCATTTCAGTGTGTGGGGAGTGTAACATTAGCTCTGGGACATGAGGAGCATTCAGTAATGTTGGGAGTCTTGCAGGAGTGTGTGTGTGTGTGTACACATATATTGGAGTATGTACGCATTCCAGAGTGTGCTGCGATACGATATTTCTTAGGGATCTGAGTGAGTTAGTCTGGGCCACAGAAGTGTGTGTTCCTATCTAGCTAAGAATTGTAAAGCCCTTGTACCTGTAAATGGAGGGTTCAAGACCACTTTAAAACTTTTTCTATATTTAGAAACTTACCTTCTTCTAATTGTGTCAAGGCCAGTTTGACCAATGCTCTAGGACCTCCGGCCACAGATCTTAAAACTGATGACTGTTTATGGGATATGTCATCGAGGAACTTCTAAACTTTGCATCCTACCTGCAGCTGTGGGGATGGACTCACACCCTGCAAGTGCACCATCAGGTTTCCTTTTCTGGGGAAAAATGTATCAGTGCGTCTACATTTCAGTCAACATGCAGCGCTCAGAGTGTCCACTCCTTTACTACACAAGCTCTTGAGGGCCACAGCCCAGCCATTTTGTTGTGTAGCTGTCTCATACTATGGGGTTCAGGTTGATCAGGAACTCTGCTTTTGCTGTGTTCCTTCAGATTTAGCCCTATGTACTGCTACTAAATTTAGTCTTCCAAAATACTGGCTTGACTTCTTTCTTTTATAGTAAAGGGATGTCACTTGAATTAGTTCAAAGTTCTTCTGATGCACTAAAACAGGAAGCTAGAACTGCAGTGGAGATGAACATACAAGAGAACACATGCAGAAAGTTGCTCTTTAGATATTTACTGACACATATATGCAGATATTTTAATATAAAGTGCCCTATTTTCTGAAAGAGTTTTTAGATTTGTTTTCAATAATGTGATTCATAAAATATTTATGTTATGGTAACACCAAATAGCCTAGCCAAGATATTCTGAGAGGTGATTCTGGCAGACTAGATAATACGGAGAATATTAGAATAATAGGGGAGTGACCAACTAAACCAATTAAAATGCCATCAACTATTTTCAAAGTCTTTTTCTTTCTTCCTAGGTGACCTTAATGACAAATGAGAGGTAGTGGGCTGAGGGAGAGCTCTAGGCCATCAGCTCCTCCCAGCTTGCTGCAGAGTTCCCAGGAAACACCTAGTATTTCATTAGTTCTTGCTTAATTTATGGTGTAATATTTTTCCCCAAGGCATTAAACTATCATCAAAAGCGATGTAACAATTCATGTAACTTTTATTTTCCAGGGTCGTTGTACAAGAGAGAACTGCAAGTACCTTCACCCACCAACACATTTAAAAACGCAACTGGAAATCAATGGCAGGAACAATTTAATTCAACAAAAAACTGCAGCAGCAATGCTTGCCCAGCAAATGCAGTTCATGTTTCCAGGAACACCACTACAGCCAGTGGTAAGTGTGTTTCTCAGATGATGTTACTGGCAAGTGAAGTTGAGGTACAAGACTCTACTGACCTGCAAAAGCTCCCTGAAGTATCATCAATAAAAATAATTACTGTCTGTAATCAGAACTGCTGAGATACTAGAAATAAACTTATTTAAATTTGCATATAAAGATAGGAAGCAGTATAACTGTTGGTTGAAATATTTTTATCCCAGCTTCATCTATTTTTCTCTTTCCTTCAACTTCTTTCTTTCTCTCTCTTTCTTACTCAGTTCATGTCACATTTTGTCTTGCTTTGCAAAGGTCTATGAGGCTGAGTGGCTTTAAGTAATATTTAATCCCAATATCAGGAGCAAAAAGTCATGTCATTCCAGATAGTATTTTCTTACTGTCTTGAAATCTGAAATATCCCAGGATAAGACACTTGAAGAGAATTGACAAATGTGTCCACTTTACAAACTTCAGCATTTTATCTTGAGGTTATGCATATGATATGTGGAACACTTCAAATCCAGAAGATGACATAAAGCCAGAGTCTTGCAGGAATAAACAGCATTTTTGGATGTACATGAAAATGATCAGTTGCTCTGAGTTGCCTTTGCAGCTTATTCCCAGATGGTACCAGACTTCCAAAATATTGCTAGGCAAGTCACCTGAATTGAACTTTTCACACACTGCTGCTGCTGCTGCTGCTGTTTTCTCAATTCAAACTCCAAGTATAAGGCACTGAAGTGAGATCTCTTTCTCTGACTTGAGGCATCTACAGTGTAGCCATCAGCTTTGAGGATGGGTTTCCAAGGTCTCTTTACAGTTTATCAAAAGAAATAAGCAGTTTTAAATACTCTCCAGTTAGTTTGTTTCAGATGTCTGCTTTAGGATTAGATGACCGGGTTTTAAAAGTGCCTTTTTCTTTTTATGGATTGTCAAAGGAGCCAAGTAATGTCTGCATCTTGGATGAAGACATCTGTGTATGGTCAGATGAATCTAAACAATCTCAATCCTGATTCCTCTGTTTCAAGTCTTGTTTTCCACTTGAAACATTTGGGTGTAAGGTGCGAGTCCCTGACTTTCTTGTACATGTAGTTTTTTGAGGTGTTGAAGTCCTTGATGACTCAGCTTCCAGTCCTCCTAGTGGGCAAGTTAATCACCTTTTAAGATGCATGTAAGATGTATCTTGGATATATATATTGTAATAATGTGTTTTGGTTGAATTTTCACCCCCTCCACAACATTTTCATGAAATATTACTGAGATTACACTGCAAATTTTAAGTATTAAAACCATCCTTTTTTTTTATCTGTCAGTTCATCGTTTGAACTTTACAGCGATGCTACGTAATGCTTTCTGTAGTGATTGCTGTGAAAGAAATAAAGATTTTTATTTCTCTCTGTCTCACATAAATTGCCAGACTAGGATGACTCAGCTTTGACCAAATGGATAAAAAGTAGGGAAAAAAATCTCTATAGAAGTCTTTTGATATGTATATTTATTCTTGGAATTGTATCTGATACAAAGTTGGCATTTATATTTTATATAACACCCATTGTTCCAAAATAGTTGAACTGTTGAGTCATATAAATTTCATTATTATAATTTAAAGAATTTAGCTAGTACTTAGGATATAAACTGTGCTGTTTGATATTAAGCAGTTTTGATCTCTGATAAAAACAGAACATTATTTGCTTTAAACTCTCCAGGGCAGATGGATTCCATTTCCATTTGGTTGAGTATCCTGGCTAATCTGCTGCCCTCAGCATCTTCTTGGTACTAACTCAGACTCATTTATAATTTAGGAATTTGTTCCTAAGACAAAAAGAAAACTAAACAGAAATAAACCCTTTAGCTCCTGTGCTTTATCTGACGTGTTTTCTACATCATGTGTGTGGCTGGCTTCTATTTTCTAATAGAGGCCATGCAGGCCGCCTTGATGAGGAAGACGTTCCTCCGTCATTAAACATTCTTAAGTTTTTCTCTAGTATTCTGCATCTGTGATTTATTTCTACCTGCCAGTTTATTTGGAAACTTAATTTCTGAAAAAAACTAATCCGAGATTTGTCCTGGTTTTCTGCATGTTTTTTTCTCATTTATAGTTATAGCTTCACTCTCTGGAGTAAGCTCCAGTTCTGCAGAAATAAAAAGCTTTCTGCTTCTGACCATAGTCTGAACATGCTGATGTTCTGTCTCCATCCCCAGTGGAATAGGTGGTAACAAGTCGGTTATTCTGATTTAGTAGAGCCAGGTTTTAGCATCTTACAAGTGCTCTTTCTTCTAGTCATGACTTCACTGACTTGCTTTAGAATTTTTACACGCCTGTCGTTCCTTCTATTCATTTTTTTTTATTTTGTAAGATGAAGTCTCTAGGTAAGCCTGAATAATCCTTTTCTAAATATTGGGTCCAGCCAAGATTATAATATTTATTCTGCTTGCCACCAATGGCAGCTGAACACACAAACATTTGCACAGGTGAGATTTCTAGATGTGTGAGCCGTAGTAATATATAATTGCATGAGGTGGCAAAATACAGCATGCAAACAGATGGAAGTTGGATGCTGAAGAGCTCATTATATATGCTGTTATTAGAAATATGGCTTTTAATATAGTTAATAATGCTTCACCTATGAAATCTGATAGTTTGAAAAACAGCATGTTATCCTAAGGAAACATGTATTGAGAAAAAGCAATAAAATCTATGTTATTTCTAGTTTTAGATGTGTAAATAAGCCTGCAATGTAAGCTGGACCTCCATGGAGATTCAGGTTACAGAATTGCCAAAATGTGTTACATGATTAAAAGAAGAGAATATGCTGTGTGTGTTTTGCCAGCTGTTTGAAATGTTTGAATAAGAAGATGAATTGGTGCCAAAAAGAACATGCAAAAGACAACTAATAAGCTCTTGGCTAAGTTTTTTCTCAAGGTAAGGCCATTTTTTCATTTTGATCTGTGTTTTCATTTTGCAGCCCACATTTCCAGTGGGTCCCACAATAGGAACGAACACGGCTATTAGCTTTGCTCCTTACTTAACACCAGTAACACCCGGAGTTGGCTTAGTCCCCACCGAGATCCTACCCACGCCGCCTGTCATAGTTCCTGGAAGTCCACCGGTCTCAGTCCCCGGTTCAACTGCCACCCAGAAGCTCCTCAGGACTGATAAACTGGAGGTACTGTAGGCACCACCGCGACTCAAATGTGTAAAAGATTCTTGGGATAACTCTGTTTTATCAGCTATGCTTAAATTTAACTGCTACAAATATTGAGGTCGCAAATGGGCAGGATTTCTACTCTTGCAGGCAGTGTTAATTAAGGCTTTTTTGTGTGTGTTGTTATTTTTAAGGTAGTGTGTTTGCTCAAATTTAATACATGGAAAACAACACGAATTTCCTTTATTCATAAAATTTGCCTCTTCATTATGAAGCTCTCCATGGCTTAGCTTTTAAACCACAATATATACAGGCCTTTTCGGGTATGCTTTGATGAAATACCTAACAAACAACCACATTTGTGTTACAGTATGAATTCTGCCCTGATTTTTATGAATCATTATCAGTAGTAGGGGGATTTTATAGCCTTCCAGCCTAGAGCTGCACGTGCAGATGTTGAATGTTACCAACGCTGGAACAGGCTGCCTAGGCAAACCCTCCGCCGTGCTCAGCGAGCGCCTCACTGGGGGCCACGCATCTCTGCGCGGCCCGGCTCGGCACAGCCTCTCATCCACGCGTGTCAGAAGACCAAGGGACACTTGCAGAAATGAATGTCCTTCCCCAAAAGCCTGCGCTCTCATGTTTAGAGCACGTTCCTTTTTACAAAACTCTGTGTGTTCATTCTGTCCTCTTTTTCATTATTTTTAAGGAAGCTGTCCATTTTGTTTGTAGACTGTGTTAAAATATGGTGAATCTGGTTCATACCTCCCCCTGGTACCAGCAAGAGGAACCTCTTCTCTGCCAGTGGAGTTGCATGAATATAAAGTACAGTCAGAAAGGGACTGAATATTTTGTGATCCTGAGCTAGTTTTACAGGGGCAGTTACTTCAGTGAGTATCCTTTATGGGTGTTATCTGAGCAGGAGAAAAAAAAAAGACATTTGGGAAAGTTTCTGTTGCAAGTCAAGTTCATTTAGCAGTTATACTACAAAGTTGCCTGTGGAGCTAAATGTTTAAGGGTAAAATGGATATGTTTTATTCTCCCTTCTCCCCCAAATGAGATAAAGGGTTAATTAAGCTGAATTCACTGCAGTAGCTGGAGGAGGGGGAAGGTCTGTCTTTCTGGGGCTGTGGGCTCTCCCTCCCCTTTAACCTTAGGCTGTTGGGTCCTTCCTCTGCAATGAACGCTGTTTTGCACATAGGTGTGCAGGGAGTTCCAGAGAGGCAACTGTGCGCGTGGAGAGACTGATTGCCGCTTTGCACATCCTGCAGACAGCACAATGATTGACACAAACGACAACACCGTAACCGTGTGTATGGATTACATAAAAGGTCGTTGCATGAGGGAGAAATGCAAGTATTTTCACCCTCCTGCACATTTGCAGGCCAAAATCAAAGCGGCGCAACACCAAGCCAACCAGGCTGCGGTGGCAGCCCAGGCAGCTGCGGCAGCTGCGACTGTGATGGTAAGTGCTGGAATATATGGCTGCCTTTTTTGACAAAAGCTCTTTGATGGCTATTTTGCTTCAATTTAATGCTGTTTGCTTATACTTTATTTTCTCTTTTGCCTTTTATTTTTGGTAAAAGTTAAGAAATTATAAAATTACTACTGCTTTTTTGGGGAGGAAACGCTTTTTTTTCCCCTTTATTGTTTTAATGCTGTGTTTCTATCTGAGACAATGAAGCAAATGACGCTCTATACCACTTATGTTCTCTGCCTTGATTACATGTTAAATTTGCCCCTAGTTTTTCTGAACAGAAAATAAAACTGTGAAGATGCAATGTCCCCTGGAAAATCGGGGCATATATGCTGCTCCAGCTTTTTGGTGTGAATACAAATGTGGAAATTTGGAAGAAAAAGAGGAAGGCAAAGAGAGAGTTATTTGCCTCAGAGATGGGCCACAGGAAAAAAATATATATATTGGGATTCAAGCCTCCTCACTTGAGATGCCAGACCTAAGGGTATCTGAGCCTAACCTAGCCACTCTCATCCACCCTTAGTTAGTGGAGAAAAACAAGCACATCGAGGTAGCTGTTCATCCAATCTATCATTAGTGCTTGTCTGAGGAGGAGAAAGGACTGCCCTCTGGAGATACACATCTTGACCCATTGACTAAAAAGTGTTGACTGTATCTTTCTGAAGCTTGGTTAGGATAGAGGAGTCAAATGCCCACCTAGACTTTTTACTTAACTCTCCCACTGGAATAGACAAGTTGCTTGAAGCTGTTACAATTTCGCTAAAATAAAGTTAAAAAGTAGAAAACCAAAATGTGAGTTTTTAAGAAAAAGCAGATTAAGTATAACAAGATGAAAAGAGATTGAGGGTGTTTTTATTTTCAGAACTTTCAAGCTGGTGCTGAAAACAGTGTAGAGCAGTTGGTCCATCTATTTACCAGTACTGGTTGTTTAGTATTTTTGCTAACAGCAAAGTTGATAAGTTTAAATAGATATGGTGGTGCAGATAAATAAATAAAGCATGCAGGATTTGACTGGGGAGACAAAATTTCTGCCAGCAAATCAAAGAATCATTGTGCTCGTTGCTGGCACTGGGCGAATAGTTAAGCAGATGTGGTTTGTGGACTTGTGGGCAGTGCATACAATAGTGACAGACAATGCAGTTATTCTCCGGGTAAGAAGCCTAGCAGAAACACAATACAGTACAGTATATAACTACCCTGAGCTATTGTACTTAGCAAATTAGCAAAGACCAGACATTTTGAGGGACAAAGGGTAAGTTATGCAAGAAAGTAAACCTCCAGACAGAAGAAAAATTTTTCAATGTTAATACTTTTTATGGTATCCCAAATCTCTATTTAGAACTAGATAATTTTTAGTTAAACTTCCCTGTGCTTACAGAGATGGAACACCATTTGGAAATTAAAGCAAATGAGATTTTTTTTTGTTGTTCTAATTAGTTTCTGTTGTATATTTTTGTTGCCCATTTAGTGAACATAACATTTCTGGGCAATATACTGAAGAATAAGGGAGAGAGTTGAGGAGACTTTTTTTTTGGAAATCAGTATTAGTAATAGCATATATGTCCTGTAATTTAAATGAGCCATAATTGAAATTCATTGGTCTCAAATGAACACGATGAACCATCTGTAGAAAGACAGAATCGAAATGTTAGCATTCAAATGTGGTCAATAATAAACAGATTGCTTAGCTGGATATTGAGAGCAAAAGGAAGAGAGAAATAAGAATCCTTATCTGTAGGGCTTGTTTCAGGTTGCTCCCAGGTTGAAATTGTTTCCATGAGCAGTTGTAGCTTGGCAGCCTGCAATAGCAGGGACAGGTATATTGAGAGACCAAAGTGTGTACAACTTGGATAATCAAGGACATTATGAAATATTCTTGTCAGGATATAAAATTGTATTTATGCTTCGCTATGTATAGATGTTCATCTCTCTCCATGGGCCTATTTGCAGGTAAATGTATCATCATACATCTCCATCAGTGTTCTGGCCATGTCTGCGCAGCCTCGGGGTCAGATTTAGGCTGCCTTCGAATCAGGGCCCTGCAGGGGAGAGCCCGGGGGCCGCCTGCCTTGCCCGGGCTGTTTGTCAAGTGATGCCACCGAAAGAGCAGATGGAAGTCACAAGACAGGCGCCGGGTGCCAGGGCCTGTTCACAGGGCAGATGGGTGCACTGTGGCTTGCTGGCAAAAACGCAGGAGGTTTTCCTTCCTGGGTGAGCAGGCTGGCTCGTTCTGGTCTGCAGGGTGAGCGTTCTGGCTAGGGAATCATTAGAGCAGCGGAGCTTGTAAGACCTTTGGAGGTCAATGAATTCTCTAGTCTGAGACCTTGCAGAAAATGTCCTGCCTGCAGTTCTGTAATTTAAGCTTAGGAATTTTTACTCAGACGCCTTAGCTGACCTCATCATTTGAAGTAAGAAGCAAGGGGAATGATGATCTGTGAAAGGGGCTATAGACCATGTACAGCTTAAATGTGAAGCAAGGGGAATGACAATCTCTGATAGAGGCTATAGAGCATGTACAGCTTAAATGTGAAGGGCATTAGAAGACGGTGTCATCCATCACTGTGCTTAAGGAGCTCCAAATGCTCACACAGCAGAGAATGTGCAAAGTCACTGAGGAATATACAGCCTATATTAAAATGTGAACTCATAGGCTAGTACACAGGATTGTTGAGGTGGGAAGGGACTTCTGGAGATTTTCCAGTCCAACTCTCCCCTGTTCAAAACAGGGTCATCTAGGTCAGCAGGTTGTCCAGGACTCTGTCCACTTGGATTTGGAGTATGACCAAGGACAAAGGTTCTATAGCCTGCTTGGGCAACAGTCTGTTATAGTGTTTTATCATCACCTTCACGGGTGGTGAAGTATTTTCAAATGTTTAAATGGAAATTGTATTCCAATTTATGTCCATTGCCTCTTGATCTGTCACTGGATGTCACTGAGAAGTGTCTGGCTCTGCTTTCGTTACCCATGAGCTATTTATGCACATCGCTAAGATCCCCCCCAAGCCCACTTTTGCCCAGGCTAATGAACCCCCAGCTCCCTCAGCCTCTCCTTGCTTGTTGGATCCCACAATCCCTAATTGCCTCCATAGCCCTTTGCTTCAGTAGGTCCATGTCTCTCTTTTACCGTGGAGCCAAGAACTGGACCCAGCACTCCAGGTGTGGCCTCACCAGAAGAATCACCTCCCTCAGCCTTGCTGCCAAGGCTCTTCCTGATACAGTACAGGTTGGCTTTCTTTGCCTCAGTGCTGTATTACTGGCTCATATTCAACTTCTTGTCCATGAGGATCCTCACATCCTTTTCTGCAAAGCCGCTTTCTAGTTTATCAACACTCTATACTGGTGCATGGGGTTATTTCTCCCCAGGTGCAGGACTTACTTAGCATTTTCTTTTGCTGAACTTCATGAGAGTCTTCTCTGCCCACTTTTGCAGCCTGTTGAGAACACACAGGATGGTGGCACAAGCCTCAGGTCTGTCAGTCACTCCTCCCAGTTTTGTATCACCTGTAAACTTTCTGAGGGTGCATTCAATCCTATCATCCAAGTAATTAGTGAAAAGGTTAAACAGTGTTGGACCTAGTATCAGCCTCTGGGGTACATTAGTAGTATCTAGCCTCCAGCTGGACATTGCATTGCTGATCATAACCCTCTGAGCCTGGCAGTTCAGCCAGTTTTCAGTCTACCTTACTGTAAATTTATTCAGGTCACATCAGCAGCTCATCTGTGAAGATTTTATAGGAGACACTGTCAGGAGGCTTACTAATGTGGAGTTAAACAGCATTCATTGCTTTCCCCTCATCTACTCAGAGAGTCATTCCATCAGAGAAGGTATCAGAAAGGTTAAGCATGATTTCCCCTTTGTAAATCCGTGTTGACTACTCCCAGTCTTTTGGGCCCGTCCCTTCTTGCTCTTCATGTTTCTAGAAGTGGTATCCGGGATTAGTTACTCCATCCCCTTCCCAGAGATCAAGGTGAGGCCGACTGATGTGTATTTCCCCAGATCTTCCTTCTTGCCCTGCTTGAAGATAGAAATGACATTTGCTGTCTTCCAGTATTCAGGAACCCCTCGTCATCACCATGACCTTTCAAAGATTGTCTAGCTCAACCCAAGACCATGTCTGCTTGGGAGGATGGAGACTCTACAACTTTACATGAGGTGTTTCTTGCTATATATCATATCTCCTTGGACCCAGATGCATCCTTAAGAACCACTAAAGAGCAGATTTTCTAGATGAAAGTATACAATCCAGAAATGTGTTAACGGAGAGGCAGTGAGAATGGAGAGAGTCCTTGTGGAACACAGGCGAAGCAAAGCAGGAGCATGGAATAGGCAAAACAAATGTTGGCATTAGGTAATCTTGTGACCATCAGCATTTTGAAGGCATTTTGAGACTTGTTCTCCCCTTTTTCATTTTTCTTCCCAATTTCCACATTTTGATGTTAAGATGTAATCCCACATATTCTAAAAACACTAAATGTCAATCTGTTATAAAAAAGCAAAATTTCTGATTTATAAATAAACCTTCCTTTCTCTCTAAACTTTTAAAGCATTCTTTACATTAAAGTTTGAAAGTAATACTTAATGTGAAAAGATTTTTTTTTACAGAATGCTGTCAAACCAGCCATAAGCTTTATCTTATTATAGAAATATGCATAAACGTTGTTTTACAATGCCTAAATATTTTCTTTAAACCTTTTAATGATGCTGGGCTAGTATCAGAAGTCATACTTAAATGTTCACTTACACAGTGGGAGCAGTATTTTCTGTTAGTGTAGGCTCCTGAAGCTAGTATTAGAGGTTGTAATGAAGTTTAGAAAATATGTTTTCAATTCTGAAGGGCTTATTTTTTTTCATCTCAATGTAATGTGGTAAGTTACAAGGAAAAAAAATCTATAAAAATGCCCCCCTGTCTGAGCAAATAAAGAATTAATGATAAGTTAGTGTAACTCAACCTATTAATCCGCTTTGTACTAGAAAAGGAGAAGGTCTTTCGCTTTGAACCTTAAAGCTCAATTATGGCCTGTTATTAACGGAGACCCTTACCTTGCAAACCCATGTATTAGTACCCTTTGTAACACACTACAATGTTCACTAGCACTTTTTATTTAAAAACTTAGTCTTCAAAATTGATTTTCTGCCTTTTAATTTGACTTAACTAACTTATCAGAAATTCTCGTAGGAGTACCCTTAAAACTTTCTGCATCTCTGTGAAGTGTTGATAAAGTGCTTAATAGTGTCTGCAAGCTGCTATTTTACTCAACTTTCCTGAATTTCAAACATCTATATTTTACTCTCTTATATGCTTTTTAACTAAGGTATAGTAGATGCATTTTTGCTTCAGTACTAATTCGGAGTGTAATACCCATTTCTTTAGAAGACATTTTTGTTGTTGTGCATGCCTAGTGTTTTGTATGTTGTATATTGCATTCAGAATATTTTTTTCCTTCTCACCTATCCACAATGCAATGCCGTTCCCATGATGCACCTCTGCTTGCTGTTTACCTGTATGTTAATTCGCTTGAATCCCATTGGCCCACTGCCATCATGTGCTCGCTGCCTGTTATTAAAAGACTCAGTCGACTGCCAAAGCAATGAAGCGACCTCTCGAAGCAACTGTAGACCTGGTACTTTGACCTTTCACCTTTTGCTTTGCATGTAGCGCTTTATTTATTTTTAATTCTTTTTTATTTTTTCTTTTATTTTTTCGGAGAAGCAACTAATGAAACTCGTATTGCTTTCGTTTGAACATCAACCGGAAATGATTTCACCTCTTGTTAATTTACGGGGAAATAAAAAATAAAGCTGTAAATCAATAAAAGAAAAAGAATAAAAACAAAAGCAAACTCCACCACGAACGCCGTACCGTAGTTCTCCATCTCATTTTCATATGTAATGAGCGCAGGCGATTTAGTTTGGTTCCTAACATGGTTTCATTTTTTTTAAATATCTTGCCATTAAAAAAAAAAAAAGAAAAAAAGTTGAACTGAGATAAAACTGCTTCTGTAATTGAAAATGCTTAACATAATCCATTAATCTATACAATAATAGGAAATGGTATTTAAATTTAAAAGATACTTGGCAATGAAACACAAGTGGTTTTTTCTCCCTATGATACTCAAAAACCTCTTTAAAAGAAATGCCATTTTTGTTGCTTTAAAGGCCTTTCTTTTCAGTAGTTGTGCTGCTTTTTAGGTTAATAGTACCATGCTTTTGCTATCAATAACAATATTTCACTCATTTTACATTGCTATGCTTTGAGTTAATATGCATGGCAAGGCATCTTTAGCTGCTTTAAAAATAACAAGTTTTTGTATTTATATGTTTGTTATAGACAATGCCTAAGAAATGACACGATCGTAACTAACTAACTTTCCTTATTTACAGGCCTTTCCTCCTGGTGTTCTTCACCCTTTACCAAAGAGACAAGCACTCGAAAAAAGCAATGGTGCCAGTGCCGTTTTCAATCCCAGTGTCTTGCACTATCAACAGGCTCTTGCCAATGCTCAGTTGCAGCAACACGCAGCGTTTATCCCAACAGGTATGTGGCAGTCCCGGGGAAGGAGTTTTATATGCCCTGGGTGGCCTCGCTGGGAGGCAGTTTCTGTTGCGCTTGATGGAGTGTTTTATGATGTTCCTGTGCCTTCGGAGATGAAGTCTGCACACGCATTTACAAGCTATTTTAATCCGTCTGCAGAGTAGCAGAACTCGAGCGGTAATTTCAGCATGCCATTAGAAGGCCTCTCATATTCGCAGTCCAGTTAATCATTGTCCACAGCCTGCCCTTTCTTCCTACGTTAAAGTGGTTGCGTTTTGACTTTATCTGCCAGAGCTTTCCTAGGAAACAAGAAGGCAAAACATTGCTAGCAAAATAGCGGGAAAGGCCATACGCTTCCAAGACGCAGTGGGAATTGTGCAGGCTCTGCCCACCCTCTGGATGCAGCCTGTTTCTGCTCCCCCTGTTGCCCTTTCGCAGCCCAGGGATTGCCCTTGCTGCGCACGAGCTGAGCGAGAACTGGAGCAGGAGCAGTAACCTCGCAGCCTCTGCCTGCAGGGCAGCTCGGTGCAAAGAAACTGCTCCCTGCATCTGCATTAAAGGGTTGTCAGGCTTGGGTTTTGTGGTTTTCATTTTGGAATGAAACCAGGATTTTGCCTACTGTTTATGGCTGATAGTTGGGGTTTTAGTTATTTTTGTAGGTGATCTAAAAACAAGAGAATGTAATTTGTATTTCGTTGCTCAGAAGTCTGTAACATTAATCAAAGATCCTTTGCAGCTTGAGCTACATGAGGGCGGGTGCCAGGGCTTCTTTTTAACACTGTGAAAGAAAGAGGATGCTAGATATCTGCATACCCAATAACAATGTAATTCTTTAAATTATGTCAGTCACCCCCACTCCAGACAGGTAAATATTCTGTGTAGTTGGGTAATGAATTACATGATTCGATTTTAATTAACAAATTACATATTTTAGTTTCAGGTAGTTATCAGCTGTGAACTTACAGAATTCTTTGAAATTATGTGTTTTCAAATTCATTTGTTGACATTTCAACATTTTATTTTACTGTATAGAAATAGTGCCAGTTAAATAAGGGATGAAGTGTAACATGCAGTGATTTCCCTATGTGTCAGCAATCCATATGCTTTTAAAGATTAGAAACAAACACGGATGGCATTGATTTCATGAAATTTTGGTGTAAGACCTCAGTAATAACCTTGGAACCTTCCTCTGCATTTATTATAATGAATTATAGAACACAGTATTTTTAGCACATTTGTGCACCAGAATATTTGTGGCAGAAAATGTGCTGACACTTATGGGAGTGCTTGAGAAAAAATCATGAGCCTGCCTATCTGGAAATGAATGGAATACTGCCCTGCGCTTACAAACATGCAGAAATTTCCACAAATTTGTTTTACATCCTCACCCTCAGAATTTGCAGTAAGATGTGCATTATTCCTTCTCTTAAGCATTTCCTTTCAGGGCTTATTACTGTTGTATGCAACTAAACTACCATAGAATGTAGAAAAGACTGTGGAAAATACAGTAGTCTGTAAAAGTTTTTTTCAGTGAAATAGCATTTAAATACCTTAGGAGTGCTCATGCTTCCTTGAGTAGCTCATTCTTTATGCTGTTTATTGTACTTTCCTCTTTCCAATGGATGAGTCAGAATTATAGTTTCAGTTTATAAATTTCTGATGGTAGAAAAGGTGGTTCTAGGGGCCAAATCTTAAGGGCCAGATTGTTGGCAAGTTTTTTTTTAAAAAAAAAAGAAGTATAGGGATAACATAGCAGGTGAAGTTAGACCCACAGTGGAAGACCTCTTTAACAGCACTGAGTCTCTGGGTTTTTGTGAGTGCCATCAGCTGCTATAAGGAATGTTGGAGAGAGGAGTGGGCTATGGGAGGAGGTTAGAAAGGGGCAGCCGTTCCATAAGAATGGGTATAATGAGCTTTTCACTAAAGACGGTGCATCTGCAATTCCCGTATTTCTTGGGAAGGCCAAAGAAGAGGCACCTGTTTGGATTTGCTGTGTATGAGGACTGTTGTGTCGCTCAATTCTAGGGAGCAATGCATGACATTATCTGTTGGATTTTAAACTGTGTAATATCTTCTGAACTGGTATAATTTTAAAGTGTGTTGCTTGTGTGTGTGTGTGTTAAAAAAAGTTTATTTTTAAGACAAGTTTTGCTGCTGAAATATATATAAAACTGAATTGTTTTATATAACTTCTCTGCTTTCTTAACCACTTGCTCCCTTAATAGAAAAGTGTGGGGCTTGATTTAGCATGGCTTACTTCCAAATTTTTGTACCTTATTTGTTTTGCATCAGTACAATTGCTTTGTCACCTCTTCTTATTGTTTGGTGAATGATCTTAAAAGCAACAAGTCTTTCTTCCCTCCTTCCAGTGCTGTTTGTCACACGTTTTATAACCACTAGACCAGGCACTTGGTGCGTTCTCTGGGGATTATTCTTTGGGAAGGTCATTCATAGTTGCTTTGCTACTATGATGGTTGGATAAAAGACTGCTGTAATAACCAAGCAGGAATACAGCAAACATATTTGGCTTTAGAGCAAATATGGCTGTATGTGGTGCTGCTCTCTTTACTTGTCCAGCCTTCACAGTATACGGAACATTTACGGTTCTTTTTCTCATTTGGCCTTTCGGAAAGTTGAGGGTTGACTAGGCACCAAAACTGAACCACACGGCAGGTTTTCCTGAGCATCGCTTGAGACGCAAGGGATGTTATGGAGCCCTCACCACGTTCTGACTTCTTTAGCTTTGAGAATCGTCACAGCAGCATTTTTATTGGATTGGTCAGAAACACATCTCCACTTGAGCACAGTGTGCTGTTGAGGATGTGCACATTAATATTAAACATGAATAAAAAAAACAACGCAGAATAATGATGGATGATTCCATTTTGCCTTCTTTCTCCACTGCAAATCAAAAAAAGTTCATTAACGTTGGTCTGTGCAACATTAACCTCTTTGAATTATGTAATGGGTTCTAAATGTCCCCAAATAATGTGATATTCACCCAAAGAAATTTTTGTAAACACAAAACTATTGCTGCAAATACATTAGATGAATGGGCTTATGAAATGCCTTGTATGCAGAAAAAGGCAAAAAGTTGTACGGCATACTCAAGTAGGATTTTAGGATGAAATTGGGGGTTAAAACAAAGCAAAACTATGAATGACCTTCAGGTTTCATTTAACTAACTAACTTATCTGTGGTTATGCTTGAATCTCACTTTGAATGTTAACTCTAAACAGCTAACCTGTTTCTTCCCTTTATCCACTTTTTTCACCTATCATTGCATGACATGCAGGGTCAGTTTTGTGCATGACACCCGCTACCAGTATTGGTAGGTTCCAAATTTCTTTATTTTATACTGTATATAATGTATATTCACTTGTTTCAAAAATCTTAGGTGAGACTTAGACAATGATTAGATTTAAAGGTTCACTTGTCCTTCTGGTTGACGTTGTCTCATTTTTAGATTTGTAGATAAAAAACTGCAGTTTAGATGTGGTATCACCTGCTATAACAACTACACTGCAAAAGCATAATATCATGAATCCAGTCTGCTTTTCAGTTTTCAAAGTTTTATTTCTCTTTATATTTTATATTGTCTAGTACTATAAAATCATAAAATATTGGAAAAGCCAGCAAATTTCATCAGTGTTTAAAGTTTCATAGTGGTGTGCCTGTTTCTCCTTTTTGCTGTGTGTTAGAAAGTTTTATCAGCGTTTCCCAGAAATACGAACTTCCATCCCCAGAGGTCTGGTGAGACCTGTGATCTGAACCTCAGTCCTCCTTGAAGCACATTTGCAACTCAGAACAAATTTTTCTGGCAGTGCAAAACCGAAGTCTAGTGCACACAGAGTCTAAATCAGAAAAGAAATCGTTGCTCCATTCTGCAGCCCTATCCCAATGGCTTTTATTGGACTACTCGAGAAAGCAGTTGAAATATCAGGCCTTTGAAAGTCAAATTAATACCCTGTCATGAAAATGCTGATTAAAATTCACTCTTAAAATGAACAAAAGCAGGACATTTCACAAACTCCACCTGGCTTTATTAGATGAAACAAATCAGTGTTCAGATCAGGAGAATGACCATCATGCCACTCCTGATTTTTTGCCTTGGACCAGATGGCAATTAAACTCTGATGAAGTCTAGCAGTTCGGGGGTGCTGCTAGATAAAATGCAAAAATTGGATTGGAAAGGAAGACAGCAAATATCTGGTTTACTTCATAATGAAGGTAAATGAATATAATTCATTTTTAATTGTGTTTCAAAATGAATAAACAGTTATCATTTTCCCTCCCCAGATGAAATATTTTGCTTGTACAATTGTGTTCTGCAGTAGTTGTAGTCCAAGTACTGGGGGGAACAAAAAAGCTCTCCAGGTAACAGGCAAATTCGGTAGAGCCCCAATTTGCCCAACCAGCTGGTCCATTCCTGCGTTTTCAATGTGTTTAGCTCTCCTCTTTTTTTTCTGGGAATCGCTGATTGTGTTGACAAACTTCCTTTAATTGTACTTGTAATAAGCTATTTTCCCTTTTTTTTTTTTTCCCCCTTTCTTTTTTTACCTCTCTGCCACGCTTTTCTCGCTTTGCACTGTTGATCGCATGCCATCTGCTGGTTTAACCCATGATGGCTTGCCGCTCTGATAACTCACCATGCCACCAAAAAAAAAAAAATTAAATTAAAAAAACAATTACAAAACAAACCAACCACCACTTCTCTTACCATAATGCCGCACCCTCCTGTTCATTGCTTCCATGGTTCCCCTCCTGAAAGTACCCATGATGCACAACGCTACGGCCGCCACTGTCTCTGCAGCAACAACTCCTGCAACAAGTGTTCCCTTCGCCGCAACAGCCACAGCCAATCAGGTTTGCTCCTTTTAAAGCTTTCTTTCACGGATCCCCAACTCTAAATGAGTGCTGAGATTTATTTGTTTGTTTGTTTTTCCTTTTTTTTTTTTTACCCCTCCTCCTCAAAAAAAAAAAAAAATTCTCCCGGAGAATTTTTTTTCATGTTTACCCATCAAATTTTTTTTTTCTAAAGTCGTTTATAGCAAGTGTTTGTGGGACAGGTTGCACTTATTTAGAGTTAACATTTATTGCCAATAATGATGTAGCTGTGTTTGTGTTGCGATGTTTGTACCTAATTCCCGTGTAATTAACCCAACTGGAGGCAGAGTACCTGTAGTACCAGCAGAGTACCAGCAGAGTACTGGTACTCTAGTACCAGACTACTTGCAGTAGCCTTTTATTAACTCCTGTGTTCAAAGGGATGAGATCCGGACAGGTTTCTGGTGTTCAAGTGCGCTAATGTAGTCTTCTCCATGCAGCGCTGCGGAAGGGACTAATTTGTAAGCATGGAAGCTGTCTGAAATAACAAGTGGGATGAGGCTGCTGGAAAGGAAAATGCAAGAAAACCGAGTGTTTTCTCTGCTGGTTCACAGCACTCTAGGTATTTATGACTCCGTCTGCTTTGTGTTCGAAGGAGTAACTTCAGCCTGGAAATTGATTTCCCTAGGGATGGACATGGTTGCAAAGAATCCCTAGAATTGTTGGCAGAGACGGAGCAAAGAAAATACTTTCTGCCTTTTTGGGGGCGGTGTGGTAGTTTTCGTTGTGTTAGGGTTTCCCCCTCCTTCTCTAGGATCTGATTCACACGGTGGGTGTCTGCTACAGCTCTTAGTGTGCTTTCTTTAACTGTCCTCCTCCAAGTACTTTAAATATCCCCTTAAAAAAAAAAAACAGAAGTTTCCATAACAGTTAATCTATAATAACCTAGGGAAAATATACTACCTCTGAAATACACCTTACTTTCTTAAAGAAACACAAACTGGTCCATTCACTTCACTTTTTGTTTTAAAGGGCTTGTTTGCCAACAAGTGCATGAGTGCTCTTAGCTTTTTGATCCAAAGAGGGCCCTTTTGTGCATTCCTTTCCGAGAGCTTGTTTTAGTGAAGAAAATCCTTGGGACAAGAATAGAGGCAAATGATCCATTTAACTGTCTTCCTCTTCTGTGTCACAGGGTAAGGGCAAGTTAGCACCTTGGTGGGGTGAGCCTGCTGGGTTGCAGGTCCTTGGTAGTAAGCACAGAAGAATGGTTTCTGCAGCAGAAAATGCTCTGGGAGCACAGTGTGGTTTTGTGGCCCTGACGTGGTGGCACCTGGACATGAAAAATACACAGGAGTATGAGGAAAACGGGGCTGTTTGGAGAGTGCATCAGCTGGGGGACCCTCTCAGTGCACTGTACTTCTGCCCTTAATACTACCCAGTCCCAGAAGGGATTTTTGCATGAGAAGCAGAGGAGGCTGAAGTAAAATAAATATTTATACACCTACAAAAGTATCAGTAAGCAGGTTTTTTTATTAACAGGGATTGCTTTCACACAAGTAACTTTTTCTGGCGGAGGAGTGCTGTAATGCTCTCAATGCAGATTTTGTTTCTTGTGGAGGATTAGAGCGTATTATGAGCGCTTAAAACAAGAGTTGTAACTCTGTGTGTGTATGTATATATACTTTGTTGTATGTATATGTGTATACATATATATATATATACACACACATATATACACACATAATTCACTGCTGAAATTAGAAGATGGTTTAACACCAGGATGGGTGGCCTCTTGTTTAATTTCGGCCAGGTAGAAGTTAGGCATCCAGTCCCTGTGCTTTTCTAGAAGTCTGTGTTGGGCACGATGAATTGCCCTCTGGAGGCCCCATCTCTTCCTGCTG